CATAAAATACATAACCTATAGGCCTTTTACGCATGTCTTATTGCCTACAGTCTCAAGGGCTCTCCTCCCATGTATTCAACATCCTTAAGCGCAATACCGACACGAAGAGATGTGTTTAAAAAGGGCCCGGAGGTTGGATCCATAAGTCTTACCTTCGCATTACATGAAGTTGGTTTGTCAGTTTTAATTTGAGCTATTATTTCTTCAGGATCAAAGTGTCTGTTACCAGTCGGATAAATTGTTCTGTTCATATCTTCTGGGAATCGAAATCCGGCCGCCATATTCATAGCCTTTCATTAGCAGCTTCTGATTTAATTTGTATTAGGTTTCTCTTCTCTTTAGTATTTCAGTGTTTTATCAGATATGGTGTGTCTAGTGGAAACTTCGTAGAGCTATTGTGATTTTAATACCCTAGAATCTCGACATATTTCCTTTATTGACATATTTTAAGAATTTGTGTTAGGTTGTGAATTATGTGTAAAATTGTTCTTTTTGACTTCGTCCATCGTATGAATTATAAAATCCTTTTTTTTTAAACCTGAGGAGGAAATTAGAACCGTGATTTCGAAACGTGTGATCTTATGATTTTGTAATTTAGACCATCATCAAAGTCTACACGACAAATTTCACACATCATAACTCACCAACGTGAGAAACCTACAAACTTCGACTTCTTGCTTATGTTCACACTCACACTCACACAGTTTATTCAAACGTTGTTCAATACTTTGAAGAAATTTCGTTTAGACGTTCACACTGTAAATGACAATCCGCATGCTGAAAAATTTAGAAGACGTAAATTATTCAGTCTTTGTTTTATGTACCATAGTTCAAAGATTTTAATTGTATAATATAGATTTTAAATTGTTATGAACATTACGTTAAATATATTGTGTTCTAGTTATTAAATTGGTTTACAGAAGATTTTTTTGGCGGCTAGATTCAAAAATATTTGCCTATTTAAAATTTCTTTATATATGGACATCTTTCATATCCTAAGTCTCGGACGAAAATGTCTCCATCTGGTCGCCAGTACAAGCTGCCACATTTTTCCACCTCTCGCTGCCTCTAGAGAAAATAACTGAGGAAGATAATTTAGTTGCCTTTCTGACCACTCAATAGAGGCGGGTAAGAGGACGCATTTTCGTGGTCTGTGGAATACTGCAGGACTATGTCTTATTCAGTTAGGGAAGAGGAAGAAGAACTATTTCCTTAGCGTTTAAGTGTGTTGGGACCAATAGCATCCTCCTAGCAGCAGGTCCTCCCTGGAGATCAAGATCCTCTTTTACAGGACCGATGTATTGAATGCCTGTTACCTGCCGATCGTCTGTGTACTGTTCAGCTATAAACAAAGGATATTTCAGTCAGAAAACGGGGAGTTTCCTGACATATTGCTAGTAACCTTATTTAAACCTTTCGTGTATATAGATAGTAACCGTTTCTTGTTTTTAAAATATTTAGAAAGCATAAACATTTAATAATTTTAGTTAGCATTTAAATGAAAATGATTCTGACAAGGAGAATTTCAGTATATGCCTTGTCTATTTTCAAACTGTAAAGAATACGAAATTTAATCGGGATATAAATGTGTTATTTGTTGTGTGTGTGTGTGTGGTTGTGATTAGCGCAGGGGAAATAATATATGCATGAACAATTTTGCTCGGAAAACCCATTTATAAAAGTTTAGACATAGACGGGTAAATAATATTAAAATGGATTTAAGAGGAACATAGCATGAGGTTGTTGACTGGTTACTTCTGGCTTAAAATAGGAACCAATATCTGAAATTTGTGATCATAGTAATGAGTTTATTAATTTCGGAATTCCAGAAGAAGCGGTGAATTTCTTGGGTAGTTGAATGGCTGTTAGCCTCTCAATAAAGGCTCTGCTCCATGACGTTCTTCTTGTGGTGAAGACATTAATAATAAGAGCAGAAAAAGTCTCTACTGTCCTGACGCTTTTAGTCCGATATGATCTGATCTCTGCCTGCACGTGGAATTCAATTATTTAATTCTGAAGTATCCTGCAGTTTTATAAAATTTTAACTAAAATAATATGATTTAATTTTTTGAGTATGTATATTAATAATTTCAACCAGCTCATGTTCATAATGAGAGTTGGTGGAACTATAAATGTATATACAGATTTAATTCTTACGAGAGATGGACAAATCCGTACTCAATATATTGACTTTTAGTTTTGTATTCAGAATAGCAAAATGCAAGAAATCCTTAAAGTTATAATTTTATTTCTGAACACAAACACAAGTTCTAACATGTTTAACCGACTTTAGAATCGTAAAATGAAACAAAAACAATATTTTCAATTTGTTCTTTAACGTAAAATAATGGGATAGAGGGTCGTTTGGAATGTGGCATTCGTCATATAAAGCAGACGTAGGCCAATCATACAGGTTAACAAACCTAATTAATAACACCTCACCAGTTAAGTCTTTATTACGTAGAGATTATACATTGATACCAACTTCGCAATGGAATATTACGAAATTTAGGCGATTGAGTTCGGGGAGGGGGGGGAGAGAGAGAGATGAATGAAGGGTCGACAGGTTGAGCTATTTTAATAAAACCCTCACCCAGAGCTGGTATTTTCTAAGATATTGGCTGTTCCTAGAGCCTGTACCCCAAACATCAAGCAGCGTTGGTACCATTTTAGCTGTTGGTGAGTGGTAGAGTCGCTAGACACAATTGGTGGGTAACGCTCTGATATACGAAAAATAGCCTCACAACTTCAGGCACACATTCTTACAGTAAATCTTATACTTTAGCTTTAACCTCAAACTGTAAAAAGAGAAAAATGAAATACATTTACGTGTAATTGATTTAAGGGCAGTAAGTTCCAGTGACGAGTTTTGCTTTCGTGAAGGCGATTTTTTTTTGTGGCTGCAAATTTGTAATGTAACTTATCAATTTTAATCAAATTATTCAGTAGACCTATCTTTTTTAATGGCACAGTTCTTGTGCAAATTAAATTCGAATGATACATAGCAGTCTTATCTAATTTCAACCAAAACTGTATTAATTATTGTGGACTAGAATATTATCTATCGAAATGATTTGTTTTAGATTTAGTGTAATATTATTATTTATTATTGACTGCAAATGGGTTTATACCCGGTGGCAGTGACCTACAATAAGATACAAAACAATAAGACACAACAAAACAATGAGATACATCAACACAATGAGACAGAACAAAACAATAAAAAAGACACAATAAGACACAACAAAACAATGAGATACATCAACACAATGAGACAGAACAAAACAATAAAAAAGACACAACAAAAACAATAAGACACAACAAAACAACACATCCCACTCAAAATCAAACAACTCATAAGATTACAAACCATCTAACCTAAAGTACTTAACTTAAAAATTAATACCACCTAGACATAAGACAATAACAGTAATGAATTACATACGTCATGAACTGATGCACTCACACAACAATACAATGAGACACAACAATACAACATACCACACTCAAAATAAAACAACTGACACACAATACAAAACACACATCCACTAATTAATCAGAATACTTAGAGTAGAATATAAGGTCCGCCCTCAGTACATGAAAATTTTATCCCAAAGAACTACAGCCCTTCATCACTTGGAGACTTCCCTTATCACCATCTAATCCCCACTTAATAACCCCTTGCTTGTAATTACTTTTCTGACCCTCTTTCTAAAGGTGCCTAATTTACAGGGGAAAGACGCTAGCACGCCTGGAGGTAATTGGTTCCAGCTTCTTATGGTCCTATTTACAAAGGAATATTTGCCTATATCCGTTCTTTGTTTCCTAATCCTAATTTTCCGAGTATGATCGTCCCTGCCCAGGTAGCATGGCTTTAGTAATCTATCTCCTATCGTTTTCTAAGCCCGGCCCCCCGTGTATGCTTTGAAAAGGGCGCACATTCGGGCTATCAATCTACGCTGTGCCAATGTTTCCCAACCAGATTCCTTCGTGTAATTTGCAAATTTATCCGCTCTCTTCTGCACCCGATTTAGGGCTCTTACCTGCCAATATGTAGAACTAAGATTGTTTAATTGCAAATATTAAAGTAACTAAGATACAAACAAAGCCGTTAGTCTGTTCACCACAACCTCAAATTTGAAATAGAATTATTGGGATTTGAAATGAGACCACGTTTATGTAACGGAAAATGCAGCTTTATGACGAAAGTATCTCACAGACGTCATCTTAATTTGTATTCGGTTTTACAATTAACTGAAGTAAGCGTAATATAAGTTGATTGTAAATAAGCGAAGGAGAACATGGGATGATACGAGGCGCGTCCACAAAGTAAGTTTCCCACTCGTCCCACAGCTAGCAAACCTTATATTGCGTGAAGCGACTGTGCGTACGTGATAGAGCAATGACGTAGCATGGCGCTTGCACTAACGGAACTTCCCGCGTTCTCACAGTAGCATCGTTGCAGCTGTTGAAGATGGAGGTTCTTATTCCAGCTCCCGCCGACTGTGAAGTGCGGTCAGTGATAACGCTAGGCCGCACACGGCTCGACGGACAGCAAGTCTCCTGCAGGAGTTCAGCTGGGAGGTGTTTAATCATTCACCCTACAGCCCGGACCTCGCTCCCAGTGATTTCCATCTTTTCCTACACCTCAAGAAATTCCTGTCCGGTCAGCGTCAGCGTCAGCGTTTTGAGAATGAAAGAGAGGCGGAGATGGTTGTCACACAGTGGTTCCAATCCCAGGCGGCAGACTTCTACGACACAGGTATTCAAAAGTTGGTCCCACGGTATGACAAATGTCTCAAATCCGGTGGCGAATATGTTGAAAAATAGCTAGACACTTGCTGTATCTGTTGCAATAAATATTTACATGAAATTGTGTTTTGTTTCTGTAAACGGCCCCAGGGAAACTTACTTTAAGGACGAGCCTCGTACTTCAGAGTTCCTGTCAGAATAATACAGTGACGCGCAGAAAACAATTTCGAATCGTAGCTGAGAATATATTTCTCTCCCGCACGCCTCGAATGAATGTAAGTATTAGCGTCGCAACAGTATACGTCAAACAAAAACGTCGTCGAAGTAAATTTGTAAACTGCGTTAACGCATATTGGAAAAGTTTATAGAAACTATAAGAGCGTTAGAGTCAAGAAAATTGGCAAGAACTTTGATTACATTTTTATTTCGTTCGAGGGTAAAATATCTCCATTTTTCACACAAATGAACAAAGACTTCGAAAACCTAAATGCAAACATAAATGTAATCTTAACTTTTAATAAGAAATATGATATGGAAAATACCTTTATATAATTAAGAAATGCAATTCTAGTAGGGTCTCTAGGTTATCTAGCGAATTTTTTGACTAGCGTAGCAAATGATATCTCTAGAAGAACTCTGTTACATCTAGTATCTTAATTATTATTAAGATAATAACAGTAATGAAAAACAATATTTAATAAAGGGATGGGCGGGGCTTATAGCCACCATGGGGAGGATTTCGGTGGGCAAACCAGAAGGAAAGAGACTACTCGGAAGACCTAGAAGCAGGTGTGTGCATAATACTAAGATGGGTCTTAGAGAAATAGAATAGGGTGGTACACACTCGAGTAGTTTGGTTTAGGATAGGGACCAGTGATAGTCTTCTGTGAACACTGTAATAAACCTCTGGTTACCATAAAATGTTGGAAATTTCTAGAGTAGCTGAGCAGCTGTTGGATGTTTTGGAACAAAACACGTTAGAGACATGAAATAAACGTTAAAATAAAGAGAAACTCTCTAATGTTTCGATACGTACACAGGATCTAGCGCAAGCGCATGCGCGCTGTGTTACAAGGTCAATAGCCGTGTGAAGCTTCTTAGTCGCCATGATTACGGTGCAGAGGAAGGTTCAATGTGCTTTTTGGCTTGCTAATTTTGAGTCAGTTACACTTGTTAGGCGTGAATACCGCCGTGTGTTTAATGAAGAACTACCACACGAAAATAACATTCGCCGTTTTGACCAACAACTCAGACAAACGGGCAGCCTACTGAAGCAGTCACGTCCAGGACGACCATCAGGGTCTGACGATACCACTGAAGCTGTGCGAGCAAGTTATCTGCGTAGCCCGAAGAAATCAGTGCCGAAGTGTTCTGTAGAACAACTGTTCACAACGTTTTAAAGAAACGACTACGCTTTATCGCTTAATATGGTCTTTCTGTGTCTTCAAATTCTGATACCATCTTCTGGGCTGCATTTCAGTTTTCCCACAAGTGCACCAGGGGTCCAATCTAGATCACCCCGGGTAAGATTCACGCTCTCGTGGATTGGAGTGGTCTTTAGCACACTCCTCCAGGACATCCGAAACTCCCGACTCGAGCTAGATGAGATCTCCCGTGCACTACTGAGACTACACACGTGAGTTGCTGACGAAGACTGGACCCTACTCGATCACATGATGGCCACTTGAAGCCGACAACAAATGAGCTTGAGATATTGTAGCATTGTTATCTGACAACATGGGGATGTGAACATCACCATCAGAGAAGATCTTCTAAAAGTACGACTACAGGGTTGGAGGCCTCTTAGGCTCAACGTGCCGCCGATGTTCCCTAGGACGAACGGGTCCCCCGTAGATCGAACTTGAGTACGATTTAGGACCTATTTTACTGCGTGTCCCAACATGTGGCCATTTTTCTCTGAGACTAACTGTCTTCCTCACAGGAAGAGATGTCTGCGGTGTCTTCTGCGTGGATTATATTTGTTTCTGCTGATACGTGGTGTGGCGATGATAGTTATTCGTTTGCTCGTGTGAAAAGTGTCGGTGATGTACTATTAGTGGTGGAATTAATTGCACTTATCGTACTCAGTGTAGAATTATGTGGCGATTCACGAGTAGTCCTGTAACACATATTGAGATCACAGAGATAGAGGAGATTTTTGTACGTGGGTGATGAGATGACCTCTTGGTTCCCACGACTATTGCTTATGTGCAAGGCAACCAATTGTACTACGGAAGCAAAGAAAATGTTAATTTAAAGTTATATAAACGAAACGTTTAGAATCAACAAAACCTTTTATTGAAATTGAAATACATTTGCATTTCAGGCTTAAAATTAATATCATAAAGCAGGTTTTGGATCGTATATTTTTCAGCCGTGTTTGACATTCGGTGTTTCTTCAGAAGTTGAGCGACCTTCCGAAGTTACGTGCTGCATCCAGATTATAGTTACGCCACCTGGCTATTACAATAATCATCTGTGAGCTGGTTCTAATTTTACGTAGCGAATTTTATTACTTTTTAAATTTAGACATTTTCTTATCGTAAAAAATAAAAAAAGTCGTAAATTTTTCCGTTCCTTAGCGAAATATTTTCGGAATACAGATCGTCTGCTTACTATCATAAATATTTCAAAGAATATGTAAGTGTACTTACTTATTCCGCTAATAAGTTATAATGTATATCCCTAAATATAGCAATAATAATGACACAATCATGAGAGAAATGACAACAAATGCAATTTCTGTCAAGGGTACTTCTTCTCGTGTAGAAATTGTTGGTGATGTACTGTTAGTGGTGGAATTGTTGGTGATATCTGTGTTGGAATCTGCACTTATCGTAATCAGTGTCGAATTATGTGGTGATTCATGAGAAGTCCTGTAACACAGATTGAGATAACAGAGATGACGGAAATTACAGGACGTGTGTGATGTGGTGACCTCTTGTCTGTGGCCATGCAACCAATTGCACCACAGACGCATTGCTAATGTTAGTTTCAAAGTAATATAAGAGAAATCTCTCGAAGATTCAAAATTCTTGTTTTGAAATTAAAGGTATTTGCATTAGAAGCTTAAAATTAATGTCATATAGACGTTTCCAAGTTGCGTGCTAAATCCAGATTATAGATACGCGACCTAGCTGTTACAATAATCCTCTGTGAGATGGTCCTAATTTTACGTAGCGAATTTTATTAGTATTTAAATGTAGACATTTTCTTATCGTAAAATGTGAAAAATCGTATTTTTCTCCGTTCCTTAGCATAATATTCTGGGAATTCTAAACGTCTGCTTTCCATCATAAATGTTTTGAAGCAATATGCAAATGTACTTACTTCTTCAGGCCCAAAATTCCTGCTATTAGGAAGTATATGAGATATAGATTCAGCACCACATAAATAGTCAGCGATAAGGTTCCAAGTACGACACATGAATTCAAGGTTTTGGCGACTTCGGTGCTGTTCGCATCAGCTGTAAAGTTATTTTCCATCTGAAAAGTTAAAAATCAAGATTGTACGGCTCATAATGAAAATTAATTCTCTACACTTAATATCTGAACCATGCCATTAGCTGCGAAGTGAATTGTGGTTATAATTTGGACATGAAAGAAGCAAACACAGTTTCAGTCAGGAGGCCAGTTGCTACTTACCTTATAAAATTATGTTCTCTTTCAAATTGTTGGTTGCAGACTGTTCTCTGTTCCGTTCTGTTTCTTCACGTCTGTGTTGCAGGAGTTTTGTTGATGACGTCAGTAAACATTCAACAATGTAAACAATGTATCAACACGCTGCAACAATTGAATGAAAACGAAGTGTTTAAACAATTGAGATGTACAAATAATGAGTTGAATATAATTAGTACAGTTGACTTCCGATTATCGAGGTTGATTAGAAACTTTATAATCCCGCTCAGACGTAACCTTGAATAGCCCGCATAAATGAAAGGGAAGACACTAATTTAAATTTTTGATGATTAACTAATAACGGAAAACAATTTACTTTAAATTCAATTAAGTACATACAAGCAGTTTTTAAAAGTTTTTTCTTCCCGATGTAATAACCTATTATAGTAAGTTTCCGGTTTTGGCCACAATTGATACGTAAATTTCAAAACGTTAAATAATTCGTCATTTCATTTAAACCTTTCTCTTCTAACGCTCATTTCCAACACATTTTATATATCACATTTTTAGATTTAGCTTAAACCACATAACCACCCCTGATAATCACTGTGAAATATTTCGAGATATATAATTCGACACACTCATACAAGTACAAGTCATTGTAGTAAGAGGCTATAAACTGGACGACCGGGGTTCGATCCCCGACGAGGGCAGAGGATTTTTGCTGAAGACTCAGCGTCCAGAACGGCTCTGGGGCCTACCCAGTCGCCTATCTAATGGGTACCGTGGTGCTTTCGCGAGGGTAAAGCAATGTAGGGGCGTGATTCTGACCACTGAACCCCGTTTTGTGAAATAGTTCAAGAATGAATACGAGCTATACCCTTCTTTTCGTCCCAAGCGCTTACATTGCTATACGGACGGGTAAGTCGGCAAAAACAGCGAAAGCACCACGGTACCCATTAGATAGGCGACTGTGTAGGCCCCAGAGCCGTTCTGGACGCTGAGTCTTCAGCAAAAATCCTCTGCCCTCGTCGGGGATCGAACCCCGGTCGTCCAGTTTATAGCCTCTTACTATAATGACTTGTACTTGTATGAGTGTGTCGAATTATATATCTCGAAATATTTCACAGTGATTATCAGGGGTGGTTATGTGGTTTAAGCTAAATCTAAAAATGTGATATATAAAATGTGTTGGAAATGAGCGTTAGAAGAGAAAGGTTTAAATGAAATGACGAATTATTTAACGTTTTGAAATTTACGTATCAATTGTGGCCAAAACCGGAAACTTACTATAATAGGTTATTACATCGGGAAGAAAAAACTTTTAAAAACTGCTTGTATGTACTTAATTGAATTTAAAGTAAATTGTTTTCCGTTATTAGTTAATCATCAAAAATTTAAATTAGTGTCTTCCCTTTCATTTATGCGGGCTATTCAAGGTTACGTCTGAGCGGGATTATAAAGTTTCTAATCAACCTCGATAATCGGAAGTCAACTGTACTAATTATATTCAACTCATTATTTGTACATCTCAATTGTTTAAACACTTCGTTTTCATTCAATTGTTGCAGCGTGTTGATACATTGTTTACATTGTTGAATGTTTACTGACGTCATCAACAAAACTCCTGCAACACAGACGTGAAGAAACAGAACGGAACAGAGAACAGTCTGCAACCAACAATTTGAAAGAGAACATAATTTTATAAGGTAAGTGGCAACTGGCCTCCTGACTGAAACTGTGTTTGCTTCTTTCATGTCCAAATTATAACCACAATTCACTTCGCAGCTAATGGCATGGTTCAGATATTAAGTGTAGAGAATTAATTTTCATTATGAGCCGTACAATCTTGATTTTTAACTTTTCAGATGGAAAATAACTTTACAGCTGATGCGAACAGCACCGAAGTCGCCAAAACCTTGAATTCATGTGTCGTACTTGGAACCTTATCGCTGACTATTTATGTGGTGCTGAATCTATATCTCATATACTTCCTAATAGCAGGAATTTTGGGCCTGAAGAAGTAAGTACTCTTGCATATTGCTTCAAAAACTTATGATAATAAGCAGACGTTTAGAATTCCCAGAATATTATGCTAAGGAACGGAGAAAAATACGATTTTTCACATTTTACGATAAGAAAATGTCTACATTTAAATACTAATAAAATTCGCTACGTAAAATTAGGACCATCTCACAGAGGATTATTGTAACAGCCAGGTCGCGTATGTATAATCTGGATTTAGCACGCAACTTGGAAACGTCTATATGACATTAATTTTAAGCTTCTAATGCAAATACCTTTAATTTCAAAACAAGAATTTTGAATCTTCGAGAGATTTCTCTTATATTACTTTGAAACTAACATTAGCAATGCGTCTGTGGTGCAATTGGTTGCATGGCCACAGACAAGAGGTCACCACATCACACACGTCCTGTAATTTCCGTCATCTCTGTTATCTCAATCTGTGTTACAGGACTTCTCATGAATCACCACATAATTCGACACTGATTACGATAAGTGCAGATTCCAACACAGATATCACCAACAATTCCACCACTAACAGTACATCACCAACAATTTCTACACGAGAAGAAGTACCCTTGACAGAAATTGCATTTGTTGTCATTTCTCTCATGATTGTGTCATTATTATTGCTATATTTAGGGATATACATTATAACTTATTAGCGGAATAAGTAAGTACACTTACATATTCTTTGAAATATTTATGATAGTAAGCAGACGATCTGTATTCCGAAAATATTTCGCTAAGGAACGGAAAAATTTACGACTTTTTTTATTTTTTACGATAAGAAAATGTCTAAATTTAAAAAGTAATAAAATTCGCTACGTAAAATTAGAACCAGCTCACAGATGATTATTGTAATAGCCAGGTGGCGTAACTATAATCTGGATGCAGCACGTAACTTCGGAAGGTCGCTCAACTTCTGAAGAAACACCGAATGTCAAACACGGCTGAAAAATATACGATCCAAAACCTGCTTTATGATATTAATTTTAAGCCTGAAATGCAAATGTATTTCAATTTCAATAAAAGGTTTTGTTGATTCTAAACGTTTCGTTTATATAACTTTAAATTAACATTTTCTTTGCTTCCGTAGTACAATTGGTTGCCTTGCACATAAGCAATAGTCGTGGGAACCAAGAGGTCATCTCATCACCCACGTACAAAAATCTCCTCTATCTCTGTGATCTCAATATGTGTTACAGGACTACTCGTGAATCGCCACATAATTCTACACTGAGTACGATAAGTGCAATTAATTCCACCACTAATAGTACATCACCGACACTTTTCACACGAGCAAACGAATAACTATCATCGCCACACCACGTATCAGCAGAAACAAATATAATCCACGCAGAAGACACCGCAGACATCTCTTCCTGTGAGGAAGACTGTTAGTCTCAGAGAAAAATGGCCACATGTTGGGACACGCAGTAAAATAGGTCCTAAATCGTACTCAAGTTCGATCTACGGGGAACCCGTTCGTCCTAGGGAACATCGGCGGCACGTTGAGCCTAAGAGGCCTCCAACCCTGTAGTCGTACTTTTAGAAGATCTTCTCTGATGGTGATGTTCACATCCCCATGTTGTCAGATAACAATGCTACAATATCTCAAGCTCATTTGTTGTCGGCTTCAAGTGGCCATCATGTGATCGAGTAGGGTCCAGTCTTCGTCAGCAACTCACGTGTGTAGTCTCAGTAGTGCACGGGAGATCTCATCTAGCTCGAGTCGGGAGTTTCGGATGTCCTGGAGGAGTGTGCTAAAGACCACTCCAATCCACGAGAGCGTGAATCTTACCCGGGGTGATCTAGATTGGACCCCTGGTGCACTTGTGGGAAAACTGAAATGCAGCCCAGAAGATGGTATCAGAATTTGAAGACACAGAAAGACCATATTAAGCGATAAAGCGTAGTCGTTTCTTTAAAACGTTGTGAACAGTTGTTCTACAGAACACTTCGGCACTGATTTCTTCGGGCTACGCAGATAACTTGCTCGCACAGCTTCAGTGGTATCGTCAGACCCTGATGGTCGTCCTGGACGTGACTGCTTCAGTAGGCTGCCCGTTTGTCTGAGTTGTTGGTCAAAACGGCGAATGTTATTTTCGTGTGGTAGTTCTTCATTAAACACATGGCGGTATTCACGCCTAACAAGTGTAACTGACTAAAAATTAGCAAGCCAAAAAGCACATTGAACCTTCCTCTGCACCGTAATCATGGCGACTAAGAAGCTTCACACGGCTATTGACCTTGTAACACAGCGCGCATGCGCTTGCGCTAGATCCTGTGTACGTATCGAAACATTAGAGAGTTTCTCTTTATTTTAACTTTTATTTCATGTTTCTATCGTGCTTTGTTCCAAAAATATGACTGTTTGTTACCCCACCATTATTTTACATGCACACAAAAATTACCTGACAAGAACGATACAAAAATCTAAAGCAGTGTTTAAAAACATTTTTATAGATAAGTCTATTTAAATATCATATATACATTTAAAACATTACTTAACTTTACTTAATTAAACCATATGATGCAGATTGTGGCCATAAAAATGACCACTAACCAACCAACGTATTTATTTCAGCATGTCTTAATCAACTCAATTTTGAAGTACGAGGTGCGATCAGAAAGTTTAAAGGCTGTGTCAATAGAGGGCGAACCGGATGTAGTACGAGCTTCTGCCGCTAAGAGGTTGGACCTACATTCATAGTGAATCAGTGTGCCAGCCGGCATCATCGAATTAGCATTTGTTTCTTAGTTACCGGCGTTTTGGTAGTGCATTACACCGACCCTCATGCGATTGCGGAATGGCGGATTTTCATGAACAAATCAAATTTTTGCCAAAGACTCGCCAAAACGGCTACGGAAACCTATGAAATGCTAAAGCAAGCATTTGGGGAGTCCGCAATGGGTCGTGCACAAACTTTTGTGTGGCATTCACGTTTTAAAAATGGCCGAACCTCTGGCGATGATGACGAGCGTTCTGGACGACCATCTTCGAGCACAACGCCCGAAAATGGTACGAAGATTCGGCAGACCATTCACGA